TTATAGACACAATAACATGACTGCATTTCATAATGATGGAATAAATCTTCCATAAAATCTAAAGTGTATAGTGTATTTTATTTGTTTCTCTAATTCTATGGAGATCCTTATTTTATAATGCCAACCACTTATTTATACTCTGTAGAAAATATTTCTTTATGATTTAGCTTCAAGGTTATCTTTCAAAATAGCTTTTCTTTCAAATCAGTTCATCCCCTTTCTACTACACATGAGCACCTGCCTTTTACAACCTCTGAGCAACGATTTTACCCAACCACTATTAACCCATTTTAGTTATTATGAACAGTGCATTTGACTATCAACGGTAGAAACATTACACAGAGCTTTTTTCGTGTCTGCATACATGGGGAAAATATATGGATTTGTCCAAAATGGAATCAGATTGACTGCTTTAGTCCTTTTGAGCTCAAATAATTAAAAGCATGCACTATTCTACTTTACTTTAGGATTTTATTTTGGAGCATGTCTTTCCCGGTGTACCAAACTAAGCTCGGCAAAAACCTATGGCCCAATTCCAAAACAATAAATAGACTTCTGCAACTATACTGAACAAAAATATAAATGCAACATGTAAAGTGTTGGTCCCATGTTTCATGAGCTGAAATAAAAGATCCCAGAAATGTTTAATACGGACAAATAGCTAATTTCTCTCAAATTTTGTGCACAAATTTGATTACATCCCTGTTAGTGAGCATTTCTCCTTTGCCAAGATAATCCATCCACCTGACAGGTGTGGCATATTAAGACGCTGATTAAACAGCATGATAATTACACAAGTACACCTTGTGATGGTTACAATAAAAGGTCCCTCTAAACTGTGCACACAACACAACATTTGTTACACAACACAATGCCACAGATGTGTCAAGTTTTGAAGGAGCGTGCAATTGGCATGCTGACTGCAGGAATGTCCACCAGAGCTGTTGCCAGATAATTGAATGTTCATTTCCCTACCATAAGCTGCCTCAAACTTCATTTTAGAGAATTTGGCAGTACGTCCAACCGGCCTCACAACCGCAGACCACGTGTTACCACGCCAGCCCAAGACCTCCACATCTGGCTTCTTCACCTGCCGATCGTCTGAGACCAGCCACCCGGACAGCTGATAAAACTGTGGGTTTGCACAACCGAAGATTTTCTGCCCAAACTGTCAGAAACCGTCTCAGGGAAGCTCAAGTGCGTGCTTGTCGTCCTCACCAGGGTCTTGACCTGACTGCAGTTCGGCGTCGTAACCGACTTCAGGGGGCAAATGCTCACCTTTGATGTCCACTGGCACGCTGGAGAACTGTGCTCTTCATAGATGAATCCCGGTTTCAACTGTACCGGGCAGATGGCAGACAGCGAGTATGGCATTGTGTGGGCGAGCGGTTTGCAATGTCAACGTTGTGAACTGAGTGCCCCATGGTGGCGGTGGGGTTATGGTATGGGCAGGCATAAGCTACGGACAACGAACACAATTGCATTGTATCGATGGCAATTTGAATACAAAGCGATACCGTGACGAGATCCTGAGTCCCATTGGTGCCATTCATCAACAAGCTGATCAACTCTATGCGAAGATGTGTCGCGCTGCATGAGGCAAATGGTGGTCACACCAGATACTGATTTCCTTATATGAACTAACTCAGTAAAATGTTTGAAATTGTTGCGTTTATATTTTTCTTCAGTGTATTATTGGCTATAGAGAGAGAGAGAGAGACCTAATCGTGTGGGGTTTCGGGTTGTGTCAGTAGGTAAGCATTAATACACTCCAGACTGTGCGTTGCCAAGGAATTACCGCAAATCTCAGCGGTGTGAGAAGGCACGAGGCCGAAGGCTGCCCCACGTAGCTGCTGATGGAGTACTCGTCACCTGTAGACGTCCTCACCTCAGCGTAGAACTAGCGCAGGTTTTCGTTCATCTTCACCTCTCCATCAGTCTCCCAATATAACGTCACCCCTGCGTGCACAGCCCAGTCAGTGGAAACGGTCAATGCCCAACTAGTGACCTTTTTAGTGTTGCGCTCCTCCTTTTCGCTCTCAATCTGGTCCAGTTCAGCTACTGCAAGCTGGACAAGCCTGTTCTTTATCTTCAGCCTTTCCTCATCAACTGTTGGCCAACGTTTTTCAGCCAGGTCACCCGTGACACAAGTCAGTATTTCACGTCCATCCATGTCTGAGGATGTCAGGAAATGACGGGGAAACCGGCCACTAGGGTGCAACAGTGAGCGCTGTTACCTTCAAGTAGGTTTCGGGTTTTGCTAGGGCATTATTGACTGGGATGGCATCTGCTTCTGATTCCAAAGGTTGCAAGTTCGAATCCAGTCGCTAAATGACGTCATCACCTAATTTGCTTAATTGGCGATGTGCATGTAATTGTGATGGATGCTGTAGGAGAGAGGAATAACGTAGTGGGAGAGACAAAAAGTGAGTAAAAAACACCCTACATTTTACATTTACATTTACATTTACGTCATTTAGCAGACGCTCTTATCCAGAGCGACTTACAAATTGGTGCATTCACCCTATAGCAAGTGGGTTAACCACTTTACAATTTTTATTTTTTTTTGGTGGGGGTGGGGGGGGGTAGAATGATTACTTTATCCTATCCCAGGTATTCCTTAAAGAGGTGGGGTTTCAAATGTCTCCGGAAGGTGGTGAGTGACTCCGCTGTCCTGGCGTCGTGAGGGAGATTGTTCCACCATTGGGGTGCCAGAGCAGCGAACAGTTTTGACTGGGCTGAGCGGGAACTATGCTTCCGCAGAGGAAGGGGAGCCAGCAGGCCAGAGGTGGATGAACGCAATGCCCTCGTTTGGGTGTAGGGACTGATCAGAGCCTGAAGGTACGGAGGTGCCGTTCCCCTCACTGCTCCATAGGCAATCATAGACATCCCACCCTGAATGTAAGCCAGGGCGGGATCAGCCAGCGGCGGCTTCCCGCATGCGCGATTCATCTCCAGTCTGGACGCGGAGGGGTGAACATCTCCTGCGCTGACTGCAGCTGGGAGGGACTGCTGCTTGACGACTGGGCCACCTGTGAGTGCTTTGGGACGGGGGTGGGGCCCACGGCAGCACTCGCTGCTCATTGAGAAGAGTAAGAACGATATGTGCTTTCACGTCAGAGTCTCCAAAAGTCTCCAATAACAACAGAAAAAGTTGCTAGATTTGTCGCTAGTCGCTTTTTTGAAAATGTGTCGCTAGAGGGGTCTGAAAACTCGCTAAATATAGCGACAGTCGCTAAGTTGGCAACACTGGTGAGAGCTACATAGTTTGATTTTTTTCAGGGTGAGGCCCCCATGTAAATAAAAATGTATCACAAAATCCTCCAGGTTTGTCTGTTGTTATTGAATGTCAGTTAATTATGCTAATTACCATTATCTGATTTTAAATATGTTCCATTCATGAGCATAAATTCAAATGTAGTTAGCAAATTATTTTCTGATAGGCTACTTTTTTTTTCCTGGGTTCTAGAACAAGTTGAAAACAACAGTCTTCCAGTCATTGCCCTAATGCTAGTTAGCATTGGCTCCCAGAAGTACCTTCATACTGCAGGCAGAGACATAAAAATGGTATCCAGGAGTTCGTCTGGGCAGGAACTTGCAGTATCCTTTTAAGACTTGCACACCACAATGAATGTGATCTAGCATTCTGCCAATGGTCTAGGGCGTTGTGTTTTAGGGACCACCTGCTTGCTGTAGGCCTAGACATCTGACTGCCATTTTTCACGCGATTCTACATGTAGAATCGGTTGGCACTCAGGTCCAAAATTATGTTCAGAGGTGCTAAATAGCCTACCAGAAAACGCTATTGGTGTGTCTGAGTCCTAAGTGAGGTGACAGAGAAAGCTGCAGTTTTACGCTGACAGACTTCACATGATAAAGAGGGTCCTTACTGACACACGCACTCACACACACAGATTGTTTCTCTCTGTACTCTTAGAAAAAAAAAATCTAAGAGTTTAATACTTTATTTCAATTTTCTCCTTGCCTCTAGTCGGAAGTCGTAATAACTTTATTTTCAGCAGTGCAAAAATTAATTACATGCATTTAATAACCAAAATATCATTATTATTCCCCCTTTTAATATCATAAATGCTGCACACAGGGGACGCTCTTAATAGCGCACGGGCCGTAACTGGCCATTACCCGACTGTAATGATATTACAGACCCAATTACCTGCCATTAGACCGGCTTCTCCACCTTATGTGCGTTGATCCAATCCCACCCTCCTCTTCCAATCCCACCATCCTCTTTCAAATGTCAGGTGCAGTATGGAGCCTCATTTCGCCTCTCCATAGAGACTCCAGCGTCTGCGCTGTGATGTCCCAGATTCGCTTTAAAACTAATTGAAAGGGTCCCATGGTATATCGTTTATCCGTGGAAGCGATATAAAATTGTGGGACCCCTTGCTGTGAAGAAAATCAAAATTCTGGCCATTGTAAATGTTATGATATGCGCAGCCCGTTGTAAAGTGGACCCGGTAACCCACCTAAAGAGCAATTAACGGCCTGGCAGTCAATCTCAAACCCAACAGAAGTCATCTTAGATTTTTAATATAGAAGCAACCAAATAAAGAATGTGTGTGCGTGTGTGTTTTTATGGCCAGGGACTAACCACTGACATAACAGCAGAATAATCTGCCGGGGAAAATATTTGAATTCTCAGATACCTGGGAGAGTTTATGTTTCTCTCACACACACACACATACGGAGACACACACAGAGAGAGCGAGAGAGAGGTCCCACTCACAGTGAGAAGACAAAGCCGCGGTAATCCGATTAGAACCAATTAAGCGTGAGATTCTAAAGGCAGCAAGAGCTGAAAGCCTCAACTCGCTGTAGACATCTGGACACTCCCAGAGAGAGAAAGGCAGAGAAGATAAACTCCGATAGGGATGCTGTGGGGGAAAGAGGGGAGTGAGTAAGAGAGAGAGTGAGAAAGAGAAAGAGAGGTTGTAGAGATAGATAGTGGGACAGAGAGAGAGCGAGTGTGACTGTGACAGTGGATTTGCCGGTACCTCAAACATACAGGAAACTCTTCGCGCCCTCAGCATCCTCTCCTCCTCGCCCCTGGACCAGCGCAAGACAAATACTCAGCAGGTATGACAGACAGCCGGAATATCTACCATGTTCTATCTTAGATAGGCTACGTGTTTCATATCATTTACTATCATTTATGACTTTTTTTTGCAAGAGATCTGGGCATTATTTCTGATTTGTCGCTTTAACTCATTTGGTGAGTGCTGCCCTGTGGACTATTTTGATGAGGATTAATCTCCGCTAATAACTTTGGTGTGAGCACATTTCATGCTATTTCATGTTTTATTCCAGTGTTTTATAGCCTAGTAATTTGGTTTGTTGCGCAAATTACTTTTATTGTTTTTTTATTTGGGAGGGAAGAGCAGGGAGTTTTTGTCTTTTCCTATTTTGTCATTGATATAAACATTGTAATAATTACACTGATTAGGCTTACAATGGTTGGATTTTGGCCCGTTCCACTAATGTCAAATATTGATGCAGACAGTTTGGACACATCTTGACTCGTTATTCTCTGATATGCGACTGAAATTATTTGATTTATTTTCAGATTTCTCCGTGACATCGGGCTTTCGCCCACACATATCCATAGATAAACAAAGCCCAGAAAACCATCATGTTTTACTTTCACTGTCCCCCTCAGCTGGATGGAGAATGCTGTCGGACTAATACGCGTAAGTAGACCATAGCCTAATGCTGCAACTTTTGGGACCGCTTCTCCATAGATGGGCTAGAATGTGTTGTTTTGATTTGGAAATACTAAGTGTAGGCTACATCAGCCTATAACTTCTATATCCTTGCAATCGAGTATAAATATGTGCAGCCTGACCCTACCTCTGAATAGGCTGTAAGAAGAGTGGTTTAAGGGTTATGACTCATGAAAACTGTAAACATCTGAATAACATATTTGTATCCACTTTATTTCATTGTGGTAAATAAAGTATGTGTGCATTTGTGTGTGTTCATCATTTCGTGTAAAGTACTATAAAACTGTTCCCTTGATATAGCTGTGATACTGTATATATGTATTACTGCATGTTCCATAAATTTTTTAAACGGTTGTCGCGAGTTTTTGTTTGTCTTTAAAGATCATACTTATTTTTGAAGAAGCTTGTTTTAATAGCGTATTTTTGTTTGTTTTATGAACTGTTTGAAATGTGTGTGTGTGTGTGTGTTAGCCCCGAGGCTGAGGCGGGTGTGGTGTCCCGTCTGCGGCCACAGATGTTGGGTGTCATGCCTCAGACCGGGACATCAATGTTTCATGGCTCCAATAAGTGGAATACAAGTAGATTATAGTCCGTTTCAATGGGCCATCCTTTTTACTGACATCCTAAAAAATAAACTCCTGCTTGATCCCTTAGTTTTGATGTTTTTGCTGTAAAAATATGTTGCAAAGTGTTTCCATGTCCGTTTTTGAGTGAAAACAAACAAATGTAGGCTATTCAATGTATTTATATCACCAAGTATTTTTATTGAAACATTTCTTCGATTATTATGTTTTCAGTGAACACCAACGGGTTTGCCAACCATGCGTCAGCAGGTGATTTTGATGACGGCTTTCTGCGGAGAAAACAACGTAGAAATAGAACAACATTTACTCTACAACAGGTAGCAATCAATTATAAAACTCTGGACTGCTTAGAAATATCACTCTGTACATTGGTTATAACGAATGTAATCCAATAACAAATGTAGGCCTAATATTTCCATAATGTTGTTGATAACGATTATTATGATGATGCTTATTATTTCCAACATAATAATACAATTTAGCCTATCACTTCCTTATTACTTGCACTTATTCTAGTTAATAGCATTTTGTTGCCTAGTGAGGCTATTCATAGACCTACAGTATATATAGGCCTATCGCTTCTGAAAGTAGGCTAGGGTACTTACCAAAACAGGTACCTTGTAAATTTTGTATATTTCGTTTAAAAACCAACACCAACATAAAAATACAATTTTGTGTAGTGTTATGAATAATAAAGTCGCATAACTTTAAAACTCTTAATGTAATATTGATCTTATTCTCAGTTGGAAGCTTTGGAGGCTGTTTTCGCGCAGACTCACTACCCGGATGTGTTCACGCGCGAGGAACTGGCCATGAAGATCAACCTGACGGAGGCGCGTGTCCAGGTGAGCACGCACGCACGCACGCACACAGGAATGAAGTAGCGGGCTCTGAGCAGGTTTGACCAGAGAGGGTAAATTAAGGCACTCTGTCATTCTCCCGATCCTCTTTAATAACATCAACATAATGGTGAATATTAGATCAGGTTGATTAATCGGTCATTCATAATTAAACAGTGATAATGTTCTTCACTAATTTGTCCGCATCTCAAAACAAAGGTACAAAATATACATCATACATGTGCGTCCGTTTCCGCAGCTCATAAAAAAAAAGCATAAGGGATGCTTTTAAAGAGGGCAGTAGATAAAAATGTTAAGACCATTAAATATGCGCTCACACACACACACATCTTTACATTGTTAATATTTATTTTTTGCCCTCCACATATGTGTGGTTATAAACTTGGTCAGTTGTAATTCAATTCAGTGTGTCCTGTATGTAATTTCCTGCATTCCAGATTTGCTTTTGGGTTTTGTTGTGAGCGCAGATCTAATTGTAGGAAATATAATAGTTAGGCTTTGCTTCCCCTGGGTCATCTTACTATTGCTTAAAGCCGACGGCGCGCGGGATAATGGAATCCCGAGCTGTAAATTAGGGATTGTAAACAAATTATTCCGTTCTAATCCGATTACAGCATTGCTATTATTAAATCTGAACATGAATCTGCCGCAGCATGCAGGGATATTAAACTTACATTATTATTAGAAAATAAATGTCCTTTCTGTTGTAGTGTTGTTGGCCCGTCTTTATTGTATTGTGTCAATGGGTTTCCTCCTCCTTAAAGCAGGTGCCAAATGGAGATTAATGTAGCAATTACCAGCCATTCAGAGGGACGGGATCACGACTCTTTAGCTGTAAGGTGCAAGGGTGAGATAGCCTGCCTCACAATCACAACAAGCCGCCATATTGTTGTCCTGTCACTAAACTAAACGGTTATCCTTTTTTTGTACATTGCCTGAATGGGATTCGTTTTGTTTGGCTGTTGACATCATTGTACCTAGGCTTTTGCACAATGGTGACTGTTCTGTCCCGCGTGCAGGGCGCATGCAGTCGTTCTGATTCGCACACCCGCTCCACCCCATTCCATTCACACACATCATGATTAATGCGTGTACGAGTGCAGTCTTAATCGAATCTGATGTTGTCAAACAATCACTAAATAGGGGAATAAACGACTTCATCACAGCTCTCTCTCTAAAGCGCCCTGACTGTCAGTGGGAAGTCATTAAAATATGAGAATGAAAAATTGCTCAATTAAATGTTGTTATAGGCAATGACCTTCATTCAATTAGGATATAGAAGTTGGCAGTATGTGGCAGGCTGGAGACTATGGGTGGGTGAAGTTTGGGAGAAGTGGCAGTGCAAAGTCACTCAGGCAGAGTGCTTCGGTCTGACACACACACACACACACACACACACACACACACACACACACACACACACACACACACACACATACACACACAGTGATATCCTATCTTTAAAAATAATCACATCCTTTTGATACATCTAATAACAAGACACAATAGACCATGTCCATATTTCGGTGATGAGACATGGTTAATGAAATCTGTCAGTTTTCTGACCAACTGAATCTTACCTTCTGCTCCTGTGTGCATAAATACAAATATGCTGGTCTGGGTTTGTAACATGTCAACATACAAAAGCAGGTATTCATTGGACTACATTCAATTGTACAAGGGAGAGAGATTGCATGGAACAACATTACATTTTTTTACTTCCTCTCCTCCTGTTTAGGTGTGGTTCCAGAATCGCAGGGCCAAGTGGAGAAAGACAGAGAGAGGGAGTACAGACCTTGACGGAGGGAAGGAGCCGATGAACGAGGGAGGCACTCCTCCGTCCAGGAGTCTGAACTCCCAATCTCCTGTGGACCAGAGCAGGAAACAGAAGGAACCTTTGGAGATGCAGCAGAGGTAAGAGAACAGGGACAGGGACATAGGTGGGACAGGGATGGCTGTATAGTCTAGCATAGAGTTTGTGGGGAGCCTTCTCCTCCAGAGTTAGGCCTCTTCTCCCATTACATTGGGTTTTCCCAGTGGCCAGTAACATTACAGCTGCACCTCATGGTCGCTGTCCACTGTTATGTGGTGCTGAACAGCAGATCACAGGATTCTGAGTGTACAGCTGTCTGTAGTGCTGAAATCTCAGACCAGCCACTATTTGCTTATTGTTTACTTCAGACCTTCCACATGTGATTGAGTCACCACAAATGCTAACCCACTCATCTTCCCCTCCTCTCTCCTCTTCACTCCTCTTCACTTTCCTTCAGTTGCAGGATAACCATAACCTCTTATCTCCTCTCGGAGTCATTTTAAACTAACCTCCCTCCTCTCTCTTCCCCCAGTATAAACCGAGCGGTGGGTCCTGGTGGTCCGTTCTTCCCCTCCTGTCTACCAGGAACCCTCCTGAACTCAGCCACCTATGCCCAGGCTCTGTCACACGTTGCCACAATGAAGGGTAAATTAACACAGCTAACAGTTAACACAACTAACACACTCAATGGTTAGAGGAGAGGAGGAGGATGGTGATGGTGGTGGTGATGAAAGACATGCTCTACTGTAAAACAATTTCCTGAACCTGACCTGTGTTTATTTCTGTGTGTATGTGTCTTACCAGGAGGTGGTCTGTGCTCATGCTGTGTTCCTGACCCCATGGGCCTGTCCTTCTTGCCCCCCTACGGTTGTCAGGGCAACCGTACGGCCAGTGTGGCAGCCCTGCGGATGAAGGCCCGGGAGCACTCTGAGGCCGTGCTACAGTCAGCCAACCTGCTGGGGGCCGGCCAAGGGACTGGAGTAGGAGGCCTGTCGGGGCTTGGAGTGTCTGGGGCTGGGGCTGGGTTGACGAGGCCCGGGATGGGCCCTGCCCTGGGAGTAGTATCTGGATCAGTGTTGGGCGTCTCTGGAGCCGTGGGGAGAGGCTCCAGAGACGAGGCTTCCAGCCCAGGCTCCAAGACCCCGAATCAGGGTACCGGGTCTGACAAACACCCCCTCTGCCCCAAGGAACCACTGGAGAAAAAGTGAGTGTCTATGTTGCTGCCCAGGGGAGACAGACGTACAGACAGTGTGGATGTACAGACAGACGGAAGGACTAGGACTTAAACTCCTGTGGTGTGACTGTGCCGATTGTTACAACCACCCTCCCTCTACCTACTCCTCCTAAAGCACAACTATGGACCTTGTCCTATTACTACTGGAGCAGGGAGAGGAGTGGTTACCCAGATATCATACTCTATGGATTCAACTATCAAGATATTGTATGAGTGTGATTTATTTATTGTGGGTTAATATTGCTGAATATCGTGGGGCCGTTGCGTTCCCCTTATAAGCACACGTACTGTACGTAGCTCTTGGCGCTGTGTCATTTCTCATGGACTCTACATGGACTCTGAATAAACTGTGTGTGTGTGTGATGGAGACTGCCACCCTGGCTAATAATGTGAATCTGAGGCATTTCCCCTTCTCTCTCATCTTGGCTACACACTCTCCCTTGTGTATTAGGGTACAGAAAGTCACCAGACAATGTGACATGTTATGTTCCTCTTCTTTTTAACACATGTAAAACACAAGGTGAAATATTGACAATTCTATAGTCATGGTCATCAATGTTCAGGATTTTAAGCCAGCGACCAGAGAGAACGCTAACTACTGATTTATTGATCGGTCTCGTTTAACTGACAGTGGCAGTGCACATAAATCAACGTATTTGCTTTTACATTGATGTTAAAGTGTCACAGTTGAAGCTAATGTTGCTCTGTGGTCCCTTGGCTATGCTAACAGGGTAGGCTAACAGATATGATGACACAACAGTGGTGTTGATATCAGGGCTGTTGCTAATAGCAGTCTGTTAGCACGTCTGTGGCGTAACTAGCGTTAGCCGACCCTGGATCACTTTGGTCCTGTTGTGACATGTTCTCTAAAACAATTAAAGATGTAGTCTCTCCTGTTGCCTACTGCCACGGACATCTGCTCCTATCCATTATTCATCCGTTTCCCTTAAAGCTGGAGAAACTAGAGGAGAGCAATCATTGTTCTTATTATTTATTTACTTTTAGGAATGCCACTCATGGCCTCCTCTGTCTCTATCTCTTGCCTTCTCTCTCTCTCTCTCTCTCTCTCTCTCTCTCTCTCTCTCTCTCTCTCTCTCTCTCTCTCTCTCTCTCTCTCTCTCTCTCTCTCTCTCTCTCTCTCTCTCTCTCTCTCTCTCTCTCTCTCGATGCATCGGCAGGTTACAATAACCGATTAAACATGATACATCCTAATTATTAATACCAAAATGTATATAGGTCTTCTTTAAACCCAGAGGCTCCTTCATGGTTCATCAGCGATTGTTGATTTATTAATTTAGCCTTAAAAAAAATATGAAACCTATTTTCTATGTTGTCTTTCACCAGATCGGCTGATAAGACATAAACCAATCAGATTGAGAAACCTTAATTGCAGCAAGAGAGAGCACACAGAGACCAGGATTTAGGCTGATTCAATTTGAGTCCTTGAGGATTTTCAGGAAATTACTTTTGATAATCAATAACACAATTAAGTCAACTACACACACATTAGCATTAATAATTGATGGTGAATTATGTATTACCACAAAGTACTGGGTTAATAATTAATGATGAGGGAGACACCCTGGTGACATGGAGGAGGGAGATCATGTCAGAAGTCCTGGCTCGAGCACTCGCACTCTTTTATTCTCTCTATTCCTCAATTTTTCTCTCCTTCTATTTCTCTAACTATTTCCCTTTCTATTCCTCTCTCTATTTCTCCCTGTATCTTCTTTTTCTTTCTCTCTCTTTATTAATCGGTCTCCTCTCTCTTCTCTATCTCTCGCATCTTTCACAATGAAATGTTCTGCATGCTGTGCATAGTTCATATATATTAATAAAGTGATTGGATCTTTGAGTCATTGAGTTATATTGTTAGTGTGTTTGTATCAGCAAGACCACTCATGATCTGTGGATGCTTTGCTTCTTCTTATATATATTTCTGGGTTATTTTGTTCTACACTCTTTAAATAAGACAAGCAAAACCTTCTATGAAACAAACAGCCGTGCATGTAGTTTGTTGAGTTTGCATGATTATACTCTAAAATATGAGTAAATTGTGATGCTTCTATCTAAAACTTTTGACCAGTATTTAATGATTGAGTTTTCCAAACCACTCATGTAACATTGAAATCTTGGCCAGATTAAGGTGAGGAAAGGCAAGTTTAACAAATTATTTGTATTTTTACCTTACTCCAGTAGTTTTTTCTTTTTCAGAACATATATCTATATGTATATATATATATATATATATATATATATATATACAGTGGGGAAAAAAGTATTTAGTCAGCCACCAATTGTGCAAGTTCTCCCACTTAAAAAGATGAGAGAGGCCTGTAATTTTCATCATAGGTACACGTCAACTATGACAGACAAATTGAGAAAAAAATATCCAGAAAATCACATTGTAGGATTTTTAATGAATTTATTTGCAAACTATGGTGGAAAATAAGTATTTGGTCACCTACAAACAAGCAAGATTTCTGGCTCTCACAGACCTGTAACTTCTTCTTTAAAAGGCCCCTCTGTCATCCACTCGTTACCTGTATTAATGGCACCTGTTTGAACTTGTTATCAGTATAAAAGACACCTGTCCACAACCTCAAACAGTCACACTCCAAACTCCACTATGGCCAATACCAAAGAGCTGTCAAAGGACACCAAAAACAAAATTGTAGACCTGCACCAGGCTGGGAAGACTGAATCTGCAATAGGTAAGCAGCTTGGTTTGAAGAAATCAACTGTGGGAGCAATTATTAGGAAATGGAAGACATACAAGACCACTGATAATCTCCCTCGATCTGGGGCTCAAAGCAAGATCTCACCCCGTGGGGTCAAAATGATGACAAGAACGGTGAGCAAAAATCCCAGAACCACACGGGGGGACCTAGTGAATGACCTGCATAGAGCTGGGACCAAAGTAACAAAGCCTACCATCAGTAACACACTACGCCGCCAGGGACTCAAATCCTGCAGTGCCAGACGTGTCCCCCTGCTTAAGCCAGTACATGTCCAGGCCCGTCTGAAGTTTGCTAGAGTGCATTTGGATGATCCAGAAGAGGATTGGGAGAATGTCATATGGTCAGATGAAACCAAAATATAACTTTTTGGTAAAAACTCAACTCGTCATGTTTGGAGGACAAAGAATGCTGAGTTGCATCCAAAGAACACCTTACATACTGTGAAGCATGGGGGTGGAAACATCATGCTTTGGGGCTGTTTTTCTGCAAAGGGACCAGGACGACTGATCCGTGTAAAGGAAAGAATGAATGGGGCCATGTATCGTGAGATTTTGAGTGAAAACCTCCTTCCATCAGCAAGGGCATTGAAGATGAAACGTGGCTGGGTCTTTCAGCATGACAATGATCCCAAACACACCGCCCGGGCAACGAAGGAGTGGCTTCGTAAGAAGCATTTCAAGGTCCTGGAGTGGCATAGCCAGTCTCCAGATCTCAACCCCATAGAAAATCTTTGGAGGGAGTTGAAAGTCTGTGTTGCCCAGCGACAGCCCCAAAACATCACTGCTCTATAGGAGATCTGCATGGAGGAATGGGCCAAAATACCAACAACAGTGTATGAAAACCTTGTGAAGACTTACAGAAAACGTTTGAGCTGTGTCATTGCCAACAACGGGTATATAACAAAGTATTGAGAAACTTTTGTTATTGACCAAATACTTATTTTCCACCACAATTTGCAAATAAATTCATTAAAAATCCTACAATGTGATTTTCTGGATTTTTTTTTCTCATTTTGTCTGTCATAGTGGACGTGTACCTATGATGAAAATTACAGGCCTCTCTCATCTTTTTAAGTGGGAGAACTTGCACAATTGGTGGCTGACTAAATACTTCTTTCCCCCACTGTATGTATATATATATATATATATATATATATATATATATATATATATATATATATATATATATATATATATATATATATATATATACAGTTGAAGTCACAAGTTTACATACACCTTAGCCAAATACATTTAAACTCAGTTTTTCACAATTCCTGACATAAATTCCCTGTCTTAGGTCAGTTAGGATCACCACTTTATTTTAAGAATGTGAAATGTCAGAATAATTGTAGAGAGAATTATTTATTTCAGCTTTTATTTATTTCATCACATTCCCAGTGGGTCAGAAGTTTACATACACTCAATTAGTATTTGATAGCATTGCCTTTAAATTGTTTAACCTGGGTCCAACGTTTCGGGTAGCCTTCCACAAGCTTCCCACAATAAGTTGGGTGAATTTTGGCCCATTCTTCCTGACAGAGCTGGTGTAACTGAGTCAGGTTTGTAGGCCTCCTTGCTCGCACATGCTATTTCAGTTCTGCCCACAAATCTTCTATAGGATTGAGGTCAGGGCTTTGTGATGGCCACTCCAATACCTTGAATTTGTTGTCCTTAAGCCATTTTGCCACAACTTTGGAAGTATGCTTGGGGTCATTGTCCATTTGGAAGACCCATTTGTGACCAAGCTTTAACTTCCTGACTGATGTCTTGACATGTTGCTTCAATATATCCACATCATTTTCCTTCCTCATGATGTCATCTATTTTGTGAAGTGCACCTGTCCCTCCTGCAGCAAAGCATCCCCACAGCATGATGCTGCCACCCCCGTGCTTCACGGTTGGGATGGTGTTCTTCGGCTTGCAAGCGCACCCCCTTTTTCCTCCAAACATAACGATGGTCATAATGGCCAAACAGTTCTATTTATGTCTCATCAGACCAGAGGACATTTCTCCAAAAAGTACGATCTTTGTCCCCATGTGCAGTTGCAAACCGTAATCTGGCTTTTTATGGCGGTTTTGGAGCAGTGGCTTCTTTCTTGCTGAGCGGCCTTTCAGGTTATGTTGATATAGGACTAATTTTACTGTCAATATAGATACTTTTGTACCTGTTTCCTCCAGCATCTTCACAAGGTCCTTTGCTGTTTATCTGGGATTGATTTGCACTTTTCGCACCAAAGTACGTTCATATCTAGGAGACAGAACGCGTCTCCTTCCTGAGCGGTATGACGGCTGCGTGGTCCCATGGTGTTTATACTTGCGTACTATTTTTTGTACAGATAAACGTGGTACCTTCAGGCATTTGGAAAGTGCTCCCAAGGATGAACCAGACTTGTGAAGGTCTACAATTCTTTTTCTGACATCTAGGCTGATTTCTTTTGATTTTCCCATGATGTCAAGCAAAGAGGCACTGAGTTTGAAGGTAGGCCTTGAAATACATCCACAGGTACACCTCCAATTGACTCAAATTATGTCAATTAGCCTATCAGAAGCTTCTAAAGCCATGACATCATTTTCCTGAATCTTCCAAGCTGTTTAAATGCACAGTCAACTTAGTGTATGTAAACTTCTGACCCACTGGAATTGTGATACAGTGAATTATAAATGAAATAATCTGTCTGTAAACAATTGTTGGAAAAATTACTTGTGTCATGCACAAAGTAGATGTCCTAACCGACTTGCCAAAACTAGAGTTTGTTAACATTTGTGGAGTGGTTGAAAAAATTGTTTTAATGACTCCAACCTAAGTGTATGTTAACTTCCGACAGGTGCACTTCACAAAATAGATGGCATCATGAGGAAGGAAAATTATGTGGATATATTGAAGCAACATCTCAAGACATCAGTCAGGAACATAAAGCTTGATCGCAAATGGGTCTTCCAAATGGACAATTACCCCAAGCATACTTTCAACCTGACTCAGTTACACCAGCTCTGTCAGGAGGAATGGGCCAAAATTCACCCAACTTATTGTTGGAAGCTTGAGGAAGGCTACCCGATACCTTTGACCCAAGTTAAACAATTTAAAGGCAATTTTCCTTCCTCATGATTCCATCTATTTTGTGAAGTGCACCAGTCCCTCCTGCAGCAAAGCACCCCCACAGCATGATGCTGCCACTACCGTGCTTCACGGTTGGGACAACTTTGGAAGTATGCTTGGGGTCATTGTCCATTTGGAAGACCCATTTGCGACCAAGCTTTAACTTCCTGACTGATGTCTTGAGATGTTGCTTCAATATATCCACATAATTTTCCTTCCTCATGATGTCATCTATTTTGTGAAGTGCACCTGTCCCTCCTGCAGCAAAGCACCCCCACAGCATGATGCTGCCACCCATGTGCTTCACGGATCATACATTTCTCCAAAAAGTATGATCTTTGTCCCCATGTGCAGTTGCAAACCGTAGTCTGGCTTTTTTATGGCGGTTTTGGATCAGTGGCTTCTTCCTTGTTTTACTGTGGATATAGATACTTTTGTACCGGTTTCCTCCAGCATCTTCACAAGGTCCTTTGCTGTTTATCTGGGATTGATTTGCACTTTTCGCACCAAAGTATGTTCATCTA